TCTAGCTTCAGCGAATGATGATGAGACCTTCAGGTCATTCCAGCATTCAGCGATCAAAGGAAGCTTGCTTAGCACGATCGTTGTTGTCTTGTCCTTATGCACACAAAGGACAAACACATACCCTTGCAAAAGTTAGTACGGTACGAAGCCGATTAGTCGACTCTTTGTCCACCAACTTTAAGCAAAGATGTCTGTTCAAAAATAGTGATTTTGTACTATTCACTGTAGCAAAGGACAAGTCTTCCTTTTAAGGCTTGACACGCACTCTAAACCTACAATATTGCATTAAATGTTCATTTAATTCACTGTAGTGTTGTTTTATTTTGTAGTTGTTGAGACATTTGTAGAATTGATTTACACTGTGAAATAGCACATGAATTAACATTGAATTATTAGTTCACATCGTGAACTAATATACCACTACTTAATTAAAACAATGTAGCGAGCACATGGAGGGGTTAACATTGAACTGTTGTTTCACACTTTAAAATAACACATTACCATTAATGTAAAACAATATTTTACGTTTTTATATAAAAAATAGTGTTCTATTTTAAACAAGTTATATAAAAACGTAAGATATTAGTTCTATTTTAAATTAAAATAGAACACTATTTTAATACATTTGAAATACTTTATATCTAAAAAATAGTGTTCTATTTTAAACAAGTTATATAAAAACGTAAGATATTAGTTCTATTTTAAATTAAAATAGAACACTATTTTAATACATTTGAAATACTTTATATCTAAAAAATAGTGTTCTATTTTGAATTAAAATATAAAATAAATTATTATATTTGTAAAATATCAACAAGAAGTTTCTCACAAATTTTAACCCAACTTAGGAAATGCTAGGCATATGGTTACACAACTAGGATATATTAAAATGGTAGAACCATTTGATTTGGTTCTCTATAGCCATGAGATGATCAATTTAGGGTGATAAAGGAACTCGGTAAAATAGCCTCGTAACTTTAGAGACTTAACCCAACACCTTACAATACGAGCTGATAACAGCCATACACCACCTGTGTCCACGTTCCCAATAATGAATCATGAACGAAGAAAGGCATGAGAGAAAATTGTGACAAAGAGTTCAATCCTGGCTCATCAGGATTAACGCCCGTTTTCACGGTTTAGGTTAACTCCCATTTCACCCGAACCAGGCTCTTATCAAAAATCTAAAAGACCAATTTTTATCTAGTCAATTTTTAACCGGTCCAAACTTCAATTGGTCCACGAAAACATCAATATTCACAGGATCCAATTCAAGATTCAAATTCTGATTCACAAAGGACAGATATCAGACAAGGTCCGGATTGCAGACATCATGGTCCAGTCTCGATGCGGTCAGTCCGTCTGTAGATCTGAAGATGGGGAACCATCAGCAACCAACAGTCCAGGTTGATCCTTGACCTAGACTCTACAGATAGCATCAGGCGATCGACAAAAATAGACATCAACTGGCACCACGATCCKATAGACATTGAGACAAATCAGAATTATGATCCAAAGAAAGTTTGCATAAGAAAAGCTGCTAACCAACTACAACATAACCAAGAATCGTTACAAATGAGGGATATTATGGTCTTTGAAAGGATATTTTGGAACCAGGGTTTCGTTTTGTCTTCTGCAGCAACATAAAAACACCACGAATGTACATCAACTAGCGCTTCCAGATGTTGAGACCTCTGTGCTGCAGACAGGGCACACCTGCAGCCACCATATCATTCATTGTTAATCTCCAAAAAAACACAAAAAGTTTCACCATATCATTCATTATTAATTTCTCCAAATACTTTTCAGGATAACACAAAAAAGAAACAAAAGCATCCCTACCGGTACATCCCAACCTCCCTAAAAGTCGGGGGTTCAAGCCTCACAAAAGGTGAGAAACGCATGTGACTTTTGCGGCCGTATTCAAATATTTATTTATATACACTTCAAAAAACTACTATGAACAACCCTTGCCACAGGATTAGGGGTGTCAAAGAAACTGAAACAGAACAACCGACAGAATTTGAGTTATTTGGTTTCCTGGTAAAACGTTTTGGTTAACCGAATAAGATAGGCTTATCTGGTTTGCTTTTGGTTAGTTTTTTACAGATTTGGTTAAACTGGTTAATTGAACAAGTATATACTATCAGCATCCAAAGAACATAGAGAGGAACAAAAATAACCGACTTCATGTACCTTGTTTATCTGTAGCCAGTTGGTTATGCACTCAGAATGGTACGAGTGTTTGCATGAAAGTAAGATCAAGTTATCACCATCCTCATAGTCTAGGCGACAAATAACACATCTGAGAAATAATAAGAACAAGTCAATCAACATCACCTGATTCAGATGATTAAAAAAGATTGAATTGAAGAGACTAGTCATTACGTTTCACTGCTTCCATTATGACTATTTTGGGTCTTGTATACAACTGAACGCAGAGAAGCAATTGAATCAGCAGAAAGCCCTCGACTTTCAGTCCCAACTACTTCACCCAGTGCAAGCAATTCCTAGAACACTTCACGTGTCAGCAATTCATACAAGACTGAAGAGAAGACCACAAGCTAAAGGCAAACAAGCAATTGAAAAATGTCTAATAGTTTTGAGTCATCTCGGAGAACAGATTTTATAAAAAAAAAATACCTCATATGATAGTTCATCTGGGTCAACATCATCCCATGTATCCTGAAAGACAAAAATTCTTTTGTGATCCAAACGTCAACTAAAACATACCTGCCATGCCAGGGAGAACTACATAGAATGTTGTACTTCTATACCAAAAAAGTGTATTCATTAAAGTATTTGGAAAAGGGAAGGATGTTCATACTTTTTCAATATGAAAAAATAAATGCAATTAAAAGTCGTCTTACTCAGAACCCCAATTATGACATCCCTTCTCTCGCACTTGACACCTCGGAATGCACCATTTTTACACTAAATGATTGCAAGTCAATGTGAAAACCAAACAAGCCCAGTATATCCCACCCGCCCCCAAGAAAAATACACAAAAATGAAAAATATGTAAGATAACTTATCATTCTCATCATTACCTGCGAAAAATATGTAGAATTTCCAAAGCATAAATACAAAGAAAATGAATAATAGATAGAAACTAAAAAAAATAAAAGAAAATTAGCATTATGTTATACCCCGAGGGTTAGCAAGTCCTTTTAGTAAGCTGAGTAAACAGGGACAAGTAGGTAACGCATAAATGGTATAAGTTGGTAATGCTAGGGTTTAGTATAAATAGGAAGGTTGAGGAACGTGCAGGGTATTATGTTCTGTAAACGCTTTTCTGGGTGCAAGTCCTGTGGAGAGATTCTGGCCTCTCGAAACCAGATAACCCCTTTGTAAGCATTCGATTAGTGAGAAGCATTCGGTTTCTTTCGAATTACATTTCTTTGATTTTTCCTGTGTACATCAAATTGGTATCAGGGCGAGATTGAATCTGGAGAGAACTGTTGTTTTGTGTGGAAAGGAATTGGAGGGCAGCATCATGAGATAAGGGTGTGAAATCATTGAAGGAAGATTTCAAATCCTTAAGGATATTGAGACCGTGACGAAGATGATGGACAGGTTAATCAAGTTTTATGACAAGTTGATAAAGGAAAAGACAGCCAAATCCGAGGTAGAAGATTCAAAGAGAATCCAGATTGTTCATGTTGTTAACAGAAAGAAATGAGGAGAGAAAATATAGAGGAATATGGAAGGAGAGAGAACAGACACAAAAAAAGATAAGAGGCATAGAGGGAAAGGGGTGGGTTACTCGATTGTCATCCCGAGCCACTGCCACAACCCTCACCACCACCATCTTCATTATCTCCCCGCCATCAACACTAACATCACTGTTGCATCCGCCATCATCGCCGTCACCGCTGCCTCCACCATCATATAAGTCAGATCAATGGTGCTTCCACTGTCGAGGGTAACCAAGTCTAGAAATCAAGATATCAATCATTGGAAAATTTATCTGGCCCATGCCCATTTTAGGGATTACTTTTTGGCCCAAGCCCACGATGGACTTAAACTGGTCCATCAATTCCACGTCTACAACAATGAAAAATTGATTTCGGTTTAACGATCTTCACGGGAAACTGCCGCCTCTGCTACCACCCCCTCAGCTGCCTCCATCGTTACCACCCTCACCGCTTCCATCATTGCCGCTACAGGTGGTGGCTCGATCGTGATCCCTTCTAACCTGGGATGTTGGCAAAATTGATGTCGAGTTGCAAGTGTTCCAGTTTGAGAATGGGACGCTACAGGGATGGGGGTGTAGTTGCATTCTTACCATCTCCAAAATGGGTGCAACGTCATGCAAGATTGCACATGCTTTGGAGAAAACAAACTACCCAGGTTATGACTTATATAGGAAGAAATTTGAAGAGTACCATTTTTCACATCAAATTACTGTTGACCTTCTAGCCATGAACAAGGTGGATTTATCATCACCAACAGGTACCAAGAGATTGCAGGAACGGAAAAAAAACTCACTAGTGAGAAGCATTCGATTTCCCTTGACTTCAATTTCTTTGAGTTTTTCGATGTACACCACATTAGGTGGATGTAGTACTGATTGTAGCCTTAATGGTTCCTCTTGAAGGTCTAGGTGATTCGTCATCATGAATTTTGTTCTTCCCCTTCTCATCTAAAAGGGAAATGTTTTTAACCTCTCCATGAACTAGAAGGTTCTTGCATAAAACTCCACCAGAATGTCATCGTGAAATACATTCTTGAAAGCCAATTGAAGCAGCAACAAAGCATATTGGTTATAAAGATCCACACTTGTCTGATATCTGGCATGTGCTTTATGAGGCTTGCCATGATGTACTTCGTGGAGCATGACAAGTAATATGTGTGTTGGTGTTATTTGGTAATGTTGCCGACATAGGATTGGTGGGCAATTTCATTCTTGTATCATGTTGCCAAATGAAAATCTACTGCTAATATGACTATCGAAGAATTACACAGAGGGACTACATGATGTCCATTTTTGCAACGTGGTCCTTGAACTGTTTGGTTTTACAAAGTGTTCTCAAACTTTATGGAACTTGTAAATTAATTCCTCAAAAGTATCTTCTAAATAATTGTAAAGAACCCCTTGAAATTTATAAGATTCAAAACAGACCTTTGACTTTCTTATGTTTACAGTGACACTTATCTTTTGGAATTTCCAAATTGATCCCTGCACTTCTAGTTATGGTCTATGTCTGAAGTTGGTGTCTTGTTCGATGGTAACATGTGTGGAGGCCAAGAGCATCTTACTCCTTACATTTAAGCTAATGTAGGGAGTGAAATGCATAAAAATTAATGAGCAAAATAATATATTGTTACTCCAATCATACTCCCTACATTAACAAATATACATTATTCTAATAGAACTTTTTTTACTTTTTGAACAAAAAATAATAATAAATGACCTGTACATATGTATATAATAAAATAATGTAGATTTTTTGTAGGAAGCACCTCACATGTAGGGCGTGGGATAATGAAAATGAATGTAGAAGTGAGGTTTTTTCATATTTAACTCCCTTACAATAGTTAAAGAGCAATGTAAGGAGTGCACTGGAGATGCTCTTAGAGGTTAGGACATAGGACGATGATGAAACATGGAAGGACAAAAGGAGTTGGGAGGGGGTCGGCAATGTAACCAAGCAAATCCATAAAATGAGACCAACATTCAGCAGAATGCAAAACATCAGTCAAGCACAAGGGAGATAGTATGCGTAAGAAAAAAGGAATAAAGATGAGAGGCAAAGATACCATTACAACGGATTAATCATGATAATGAAGCTAATTCTTATTCAATAGGAGGAGGCTTTCGGATTCTAATTGTTGCTGTTCTCATAGTAGATTTTAAATTTTGATAACTTCTACCATCAAGAGTAAAAAATTAAAATAATCACAACACTTGGACAAAACTTCATGTGTCATTTCTAAATTTGGCTTGTACCTCCACATAATATAAAAACAACTCCTCGTGTTTTCAAGTGAGACAGCTTTACCTCGCAAGATAAGTTTATGTACACTACACACTATAATAATATTTCAATGTTTAGTTTCTAAAAGATGTTGTTTGACACGTAATGATACATCCAAAGTTTTGAAAGACAAAAGTGTGAGGTGAGGCATTTTCCCTTAGTACTTTAACAATAAAAACAAAAATTCATAACAATCAACCCATAATTAATATAAAATTACTAAACCAGAAATTAGAACAACTGTTCCTAGGTGATTTTGGTAATATACACTAAATTTGGGACAACTCTGCTATAACTTTTTGATCTTATACCCTATACCTCTCGAGTTTCGACCACCTATAGTTGAATGAGAGTGCAAAAATGACCACCACCCAACCCTTCTCCCTTCTATCTCCACACCCACCAAATGCTCCTCCTCCTCAACGCTGTTACCAACACCACCACCCAACTTCATCATCGCTTGTTGATCTTGAAGGTCAGTTTTTTCAGAGTAGGGTTGAACGTGCATAGGGAGGAGAGAAAGGATGAAAAAGAAGAGAATACACAATCATGTAAGAGAGGAGACTCTTTTGAAGCTCTTTCCCTTGATCGTCATGCAAGAGGATCTTGCACAAACCTAGTAGTTATTTGTAAGCGTGAGGGGGGAGGAGACCACATAATTGTGAGTGGGGCAAGACGAAGGAGGGGGAGAAAGAGAACGTTCATGGGGTTTCATTTTTTAAATAAGAATGAGAATAGATATTGTTGGCCTCCTGTCACCTCGCTTCATACTGAGCCTTGTCCATGTGAAGCACCTCAATCCTAGCAGCAAAGGCATGGCCTCATAAATGGTTTTGGACCACCTTGACCGATTATAAAAACAAAGGATACCTCAAGTTTTCTACATAGTAACCTTAGAGAGATTTGCAAGAAATATTTCTAGATGTAATATACAAGAAATAGGACCCCGTTGTACAACCAAAAATAACAGGAAGGGGAAGAACTGATTCAAATTGCAATTCATAAACCTAAACCAACTACAAGTTCAAATAGTTGCTCTTACAGCTCGCTTCTCCCATTTTCTCTTGAGGAAAAAAAAAGAGTAAACAAGAGAGCAATCAGTGAAGATGGCCATGCCAATAAAGCAGAAAGAAGAAAAATATGAGCTATTAGAAAGTGACTTTGCACTGATGACAAAGTACTCATAGAGGATATGGTAACATGTTAAATTGTGATCAAATCAAAAAAAATCCATACGCATTATGGCAATAATGTACCAAGTACCACCTATTTTTGCAGATATATTATTTCACTAAATAAGAAGAATTGTATGTTCATGTTTTAAGGATTCTTGTAAATCATCAAATGTTAAAAAGATCATCTTGAGAGTGTTCTTAATTCTCGTTCCATTATTCCAAACAACCACAAACCAAGTCTTCTCACTCCTATCTCCCTTGTTAACTTCAACTTTTTATGTATAAGGTACATTCATATTATTGAATCTAAAATTATTAGTTTGATACCTGAGTTACTCATGGCTAGATTTATGAAGAGATAACAGCATGTAGATAAACATCTAAACCATACTACTAAGCCAAAGGGCATAAAACTATTACCTGAGAATTACCACCATGATCATCAATATCATCATCTTCCTCTGTAACCACTGGCAGTCAGCAATGACTTTGTTAGGCATCTAAGTTTAGAACTAAAAACCTAAGACAATATCTAACAGGATTAAGGTAAGCATGCGGATAATACAATAACAAAAAAAATGCAATTCATGACCAGAACTCACTTTCATTTATGCCAGTGAGGGCCAAAAATCTAGCTGCCATTTCTTGATCTTCAGCATCTTGTAAAGCTCTTGCATAGGCCTCGTCATTTGGAAAAGAAGCAGGATCCAAATCAACACCTTGGTTGCCTATATCCTCCTCTCCAGATCCAAGATCAAGATGACCATGGACATCAAATGCATCTTCTCCTTCATCGGCATCAGAACCATCATATTCACTATTGTGATGATCAAATTCATCATCATCATCATGCGCATAACTTCCAGTTTCCCAACTCTCATGTTCACTCCCATCACCATTCATTCTCAACATCATATATGCCCTTTCCTAGTGATACAATTGCAATTTTATAAGGAATTAAGAATTCAACAGAACCATCAAAAAAGTGAAACCCACAAACTATCACCAATCAATACCGTTATCCACTAATTCCTCTAAATTGTGTATTTTCTCAACAGGAGAACTAATACAAAAGTGTATATTTTTATGGTTCATAACAATATGCACGATTGCACAGCACATGAAAAAGCTATGGTTCTTTCCTGGTCTCAAGTGTACATTTTTAGGGTTCACTCAACTACCATGATTCCAATTAAATCAAAATCTGATTATAATTAGAGTTCTGAACCTTGAAGTTCATACTCCAACCTCCGCCTAGTTTAACCCAGGGAAGAAGCATAAAGAAGTTTGTAATTAAAATAAAGAGATATACCTGGTCTTGTAGTGTACGAGCCAGGGCAAGATCAGCATCGACCTGACTGAGATTGGTGAACGGGGTTCTGGCAACCGAAGAAGACCGGTTTGGGTTGCCATTTTCCTCACCAACAACAGGAAGAACCGAAGAACCAACAAGAGTTTCAGAATTATTGGAAGGGTTCTCTTCGTTATTGGCGATCTTGCTTCCTTGGTCTTTGGAGTTGTCCATGAACTAGGGTTTGGATAGAAAATCAAATGATGTATTACGTTAAAGTGAATGAAAGAAGAAAGTAATCGAATATCTTGGGTTTAAGGATAGCTGATGGATTGATAGAGGCGGTGAGATAGAGAAGGAGAAAACTCAAGAGCAGTACGCATACGCAAACGCAATCCCTCCTCTACCGCAATCGAAAGCGATGATTTGATTATAAACAAAAAGGGTGGGTGTCGGTTAAACCTTATGGCTGGGTGGGTGGGTGGGTGGGCGATAACCCGATTCATTTGAAATTCAAAGTTTCAAAAAGATGTTAAAATAGAGTAATTCCAATTTCAATTCATGATAAGAATACTCATGTAATACAATAAAATACATTTTTATTTTAATATTTTATATTATTTTTTGTCTTTGTTGATATAATATGGTTGGTGTGATTTTGAGAAAGATAATATTTTTATTTTTGAATAAAAATAAATTTGAATACATCATAAAATTTTAAAAAAAATATATCGATATTAATATCAAATTAACTATTTAAAAATTCTCGTTTTTTTTGTACGGTTTATTTAGTTCAATTGATTTGTTATAATTTAATTTAGGTCAAATAGTGAAATAATTAATTTTTGCTTAACAATAAAATCTTTATAAAGATAATGATTATGTTAGCACTTAATTATTATCCTGATTATATTTTAAATTTTTTATATTCAAAATGAGATGTTTATATCGTATTTGATTATGTTTATCTATAGTTAATTATACTAATTCAAAAATTGAGATTTAATAAGTTGTATTTACGCATAATTTACTTATCATCTTAAATTTTAAGTAATATGCATTAATACATAGTACTTCATGCATAAAGAATGGATTTTAATAGTTTTTGTCAAATATTTTATAATATAATATAGATATAGATATGATGAATAAATTACATTTTTGTTCTTTTTGTTAGGAAATGAATTTTATGTTTTAAATATAGGAATCAGTGACAGAAAAGTCTTTTACGTGTCAAATATTTAAAAGAAATCGAAAATCAAAGAAAAAATAAAGATAGGCTTATAATGTTTAGAAGGTGACACCTCATTATATTTGGTTTCTTCTTTAAATATATATACTAGTATGAGAACTGTACGTTGCACGGTAGCATCAGTAATTTAGTTGATGATCTGATGATTGTCTATGTAAATATATGTTAGGGGTTGTTTACTTGCGGCTTAATTAGGTTTGCTGGTCTATCTAGCTTATTCGCACAACCCATTCGGGTTGTTTACTAACGGCTTATTCGCACAGAACATAGCTTAATCACACAGATGAAATAGTGTGTTGTTCCCATTCAGCCACAAAAATAACACTCATACCCCTTATTTAAAGCACCGTCTCCTTCCCATATGAGGACACTCCATCTTCAGCCTCTTTATGATTTTTTTTATTTTGATGTTCAAATAATTAATATTGGAGGTAAATAGATCATTTATGTTATTCAGACTGTTGGTTCAGGTAAAAAAAAAAGTAAACAACAATACTCATTTATCCGGACAGACAAATTTATCTATACAAGACTTAATAAAAAATTTGGTAAACAACCTCTTAGTTGTTAATAGAATCATCAACAAATAGTATTCAAATAATTCGAAAAAGTTAATAGAATCTAATTACTGAAATTTTAATATATATATATATATATATGTGTGTGTGTGTTTAGAAATAAAGTTGTAAAAATAAATAAAATGAGTAATAATAACGAGGGGGTGTGGATAATTTATGTATTGTTTGTTTGATTGATGATGGAGTTTTTTTTTAAAGAGAATGATACCTTCAGCTATTTTTATTAAGAAATAAATAAGTGTACGTCTAATCACACGGAAACTATTATATGTACAAAAATGTGGTAAATTAAAACTTAGTTTATAAATAATATTAGTCGATTATTAATATATATAAACTACTATAGAGAATAATTCATTGTTATAAGACAAATGATGTCTAAAAATAACAAAAACAAGTACTCCCTCCATCCCAAATGAATGATAGAATTGTCATTTAGTTAATTAAAAAATGTAATGATTACACATCCCCTTCACTCTTGGTATTTAAAAATGAGAACACAAGTTTTGTTTTGTTTTTTTCAAAATGGGTTTTTCACACCTATCAAAACAACCAATATAAAAGATCAAGAGTCATAAAATATCAATTATCACTAAAAAAATAATGTGTGATATCGTATAAAGCCAATTTTTTTGTAGTGGAATGATGGATGACATGAAAATTTCAAATTATATATATATTACGTATGTAAAACACAAGTAAGCTATGATTCTAAGAGTGTTTACTTTGGAATATTATCTTGGTCACTTTTACCCTACTTTTTAATATACAAAATTTGGTTAAAAATCCATATATAACACTACATGTTTACATGACATATTTTAAAAAAGATTAGTTTTGGCCCCCTCAGTTATAAGTCTCGTGTTCCGCCCCTGAAGAGAAGGGTTGCATTTTATAAGCTCGAAGTCAAATGTAAATTAATAAATAATATTATTTATCATCACTAAATTTTAGATTATGGAGAGAGAAAGAAATAGATTGATATAACTTAAATTAAAAAAAAGTAAAATAAATTGATATATATATATATATATATATATATTAAAAAGTTTATACATACATATATATATATATAATATTTAAATTAACAAAAAATGAATTTGTTTAGCAATTATATATGTGTGTGTGTTTGAGGGAGGATGATAATCAAATGAGAATGAGAAAAAGGTTACAAATCATGTAAAAAAATATTTTTCAAATCGATTCTCACATGTTTATAACTTTTTTTATGGTTCTCATTTGATTTGGACCATGTGTGTATGTGTATGTGTGTGTGTGTATATATATATATACATATATTATGGTTCTCATTTGATTTGGACCATGTGTGTATGTGTATGTGTGGAAGGAGAAATGTCAGTTGTTTTTAATATAAGTTGAGAAATAAAATAAAATGATTTATATATACATACATACATATTAATTATTTTAATAAGATATTTATATTTTATATTATATAAAATGATTTATATATCATGATTATTTAAATTTAAAAAATGAAAAGTTTTAACAATTTAATGTATTGAAATAATTTAAAAATAACTGAAAAATGAAAAGAAAAAAAAAAGAAGTTTCAACAATTAATGTGTTGAAAACATTTTAACCAAAAATAAAAATGAGAGGGAAAAAAAGATAAATATAAAAGATGGATTCCCATTAAATTTGGATTTTACCCTTATGAGAATATAAGTAGAAAAAGTAAAAAAAAAAATTACAGTGATAAAAGTATTTTGTTAAAAAATACATAAGTAAGTTAAAATGAAACATAATTCAAGAACTATGCAATACAATACAATAAGAATCAATATATTATAAGGGAATTTTCTTTATAATTCATGTCCATATAGCAATCCTAGAGATGAGTTGTAGAGTGAAAATCAAATATTAAATAATATGAAATGAAATAAGAGTAACAGAATGTAGTATTCAAATATGATGGAAAAATTGCGATCTATATTAGGTAGAAGGAGAAAATAATAAAAATATGAATGGAAAGTTACAGCACATGAAGCGCCATCTCGAATTAAAGTTTGCTTTATTTTTATTTGGTTGAAAATTTTGAAGAGTTGAGCAAAAGCAACACAATGAAATACGATTGATTACTCTTCTTCTTCATCACTGTCATATTGTTGGCAAAACGATGATTGATTACTCTTCTTCTTCGTCACTATCATATTGTTAGCATAACAACTGTAGTTCGTTACCGGCCTTCTCTTTTAATTTGGTCGTGTTTTAGCTTTTAATAACTTTTTGACAACACACAACTATATTCTAACAAACTTGATATTAGCGTTTTAGCTTCTAATGGCTTCTTGACAACACACAACTATATCCTAAACGTTTTTGACACTATATGACTTCTTTCATCTTCTATAATCATATATATGTATATATATATATATATATACACATACACATATATATACACATTCATATTAAAGGAAGAAGGAATGTAAGGAAACACATACTTACCAATAAAAATCTCTTTAATAAGGAAGATGAAAGAATGATGGGTCTTTTCAATAGTATGTCTCTTAAAAAAAATTTGTTTTTTTCTTTTAAGCTAAACCTTAATATAAGAAAGCTATTGTGAAGTGTTTAGAAAAAAAAAAAAAAAACGTAGTTTTTAGGCTTCTAATGTTGCCACGTCATACTCAGTGTAAAATGCAACGTAAAACAATGAATGTATGAGGTGTATTATATATAAATTAGTTCCATTGAGTAATTTTATAAATATGTAATGCATTTTCCTTAAATTGAGTCGTTTTTAGTTGTCTTTTGGTTGCTTGGGGACAAGCAACAGTTTTAGTTTGGGGTGTGATACACACTAATTATTTAGTGTTTAAACACTCTTTTCTTCTTTTTTAGATAGGATATTTTCCATTATACCCCAACATTAAGTCACTTTATTCCCTTATTTTCCACTTCTTTGTTTATGGAGCTAGAGTAATTTATCTATTTTTACTCTATAGTAGGCTAATGTGAACTTATTTAGGATAGATTGAAGATGGTTAATGTTGTTGGACTGTTGCAGCATGACCTATGAGTGGAGTTATTAAGGATATAGAGTTAAGAGCCACATGGCATGACAATAGTTGATTTTTTGAAAGACATTTTTGTATTTCCAATTGTATTTATTTTAAATGGATGAAAATTAGTTGTCTAAACATAGTACAATTAGACCTTTAACTTTTTACTTTAGTTGTACTTTTAGCTATTTTAACTCTAATTTTGTGCTAATTGTCTATTTTACCTTCACCTCTATTTTAGTATAAATAGAGATGTTGGGGTTAGTATTTTGATCATTTCTTTAATATCTCAAGTAGTCATCTCACTATTTTAAGTAGTTTCTCTCTCTAGAGATAGAAGTAATTTTTGGTGAAAGTCTCTTCCAAGTTTTCTTTTAAGTTTTCATTTATTTATTACGTTTTTCGCTCTTTATTTTCCGTCATTTATCTACTACGCTTTCTGCATTTTATATTCTGTTATTTATATTCCGTCATTTACTTTCCATTATTTATTTTTTATGTCTTTATTTACTGTAATTTATATTTCTTGCAATTTTCTTTCCGTTATGAGTAGCTAAATTTCTTAGC